AGTTTTAAGCCACCAGGTCCAGGACTCAAACTGCGGTCGACTACATGGGAGTCCAGTGACATAGCCATTACGCCAACTACTGGTCCCAATAGTGGACTGTTTGTGTGTGTGTGTGTGTGTGTGTGTGTGTTTAAAGTCTATGCCTTGTACTACCCACTGAGCTATCCTTAACCAAACAATCCTCCAGCAGCCCCAGGCATCTTGATCTGACTCCAGGGCTCTCAGGAACATAATGTGAATGCCTTTAATGTTAAGCAATCCTTTCCCCAGTAGAAGAAGCCCCTGAAGGTCAACAACCCAGCCTAGAAGATGGCCAGGTTTCAGCCCTAAGAGGTGCACCAAGTCCACTGTTCTCACAGTTAAGGAGTCTCAGCAGCCTTAAGCTCTGCAAGCCTTTACTTCTGGAACTCACCTTAGGGTCTTGCTTTGTTTCCAGGTGCACATCAACTTCAGACACACAGATTAGTGAACACAACCCCCTAGTAGTATAGGATGGGAAACTGAATGTTCACTACCAACTGCTGCAAACTATTGATGCAAGCTGCAGAAATGTCTAGATGAAAGACCTGCACAGAATGAAGACAGGGCTGTACCATTTAGGAGAAAGGAAAGAAAGATAAGGAAAGACACCTTGAAAGCTGCTTACTACCAGAAAGCCAGTCCTCAGAATGCTGAATGATAATACACACTCACTGCAACAACCTTAGAAAGCAGACGAAAGGTTAGGGAGGAAAAAAAACCCAGATTTAAGAATATTCCTTGGGGAGCCAGCAGGTGGCATGGTGGTTAAGGTGCTGGACTCCCACATGGCTGGCTGCAGTTTGAGACCCGGACCTGGTGGCTTACCTTCTTATTTTCCCTCTCTGCATCTTTCTGGTGAGTGTGCATGCCCTAGAACAAATAAAAATAATAAAAACTAAACAAATAATTAAGGGAGAAAAAAGAATATTCCTTGGTTCTTTTCACAAAAGACCTCCAGAAGACATGGTTTAAGTCTAAACCTACTCTTGCTAGTTCTACCTCTCATTTTGTGGTTTGATACAGCATTAAACTGGAATGACCCCAAACTTCACCCTCAATTGCACTTAGAGCTATGAAGATTAAAGGATTAGGATGTCTTGTTTGTAAACTCCCCTGCACAGTAACTAGAAAGAAGAGGCATCCCCCAAATTTCAGCTCCCACACCTCTACTACCTAGTCCTCCAGCCAGACCCTGCCCTATTCCAAGCAACACTCATTGGTCATGTTTCTATAGCCCAAATATAAAATTAGGTACTAGAGCCAGCAAGTTTACTGGGTGGGATGCCACACACGAAGGGCATTTTATGTTCCATATTCATAAAAAAGAAACCAATGTAAAGTAATATACCAGGAAGGGATGTGAAAAAAAGAACTTGCCCTGGGAAACAAAGTGTACAACTAAAATACACTCTGTTATGGACATTAGCAACTCTCAAACAGTATGAGAAGATTTCAGCAAGACAAGAGGCCCATAGGACCCACCACCTCCCCACAGTAGAGGAACACACAAAATGACAAGCTAAAGGTAGTCATGAGACACTTAACATTGGAGATTCATTCAGAGAAATGTGTTGTTAGGTGACCGTCATCCTACAAATATCATAGGTACTTAAACACACCTGGGTGGCACAGCCTACTACACACCTAGGCTATGTGCCAATGGCTTGTGCATCACTAGTCAAACATCATTCATCAACACAGGACTTAACTAATTCACACCCTAAACAACTGTCAACCTCCCCGCAGCAGGGAAATAGGCCTGGGGGTAAACAGGTCAACTCTACAGGTACCTAGGCTATTCTTCAAGGCCCCCAAATACCCATATGATTAAGTCATTTTGTCACAATCAAGTCATTTTGTTACAAGCTAGAGCCAGACTAGCCAGCAAAGACTGGGAAACCAATTTGTTTCCCTTTTCCTTCCAACAAAGTTTCTAGGCCACAGGCTGGGGGGAGGGTTGCTTTTAAACCGTTTTTATTTTTTAATTTTTAAATTGAACTTTATTTATTGTATTTATTTTAATTTGACCATAGAGGGACAGAGTATGAGAAAGAGAAAGAGAAAGAGAAAGAGAAAGAGAAAGAGAAAGAGAAAAAGAGAAAGAGAAAGAAAGAGATTGAATGCAAGGCGCCAGGTCTGGGACTTGAACCACAGTTGGCCATGTGGAAGTCCAGCGCTCTTAACCATCACGCCACTGGCCAGCCCCAGGGTGGGGGGGTGGCTTTTAATAAAATTCAGATCACTTAAGTGATTCAAGAGAAACTTACAGTCAGTTTCAGGGCTTCTTGCTGGGAAGAGGAGGCGCTTGAGCACCTGTCATCTACTAGGTCTGATCATGATCTCAATTTGTCCTTAGGCTAAAACTAGTGCTCCCTCATAAACTATGGCTATGATCTACCCCAGGTAAAAAGCCTGATGATAATTTGGGTTACCAGGGAACAAGACAAATTGCTTTAAAATACTGATGCTCAGCAGCCTTACACTGGAGACACACTGACTTCAGCACTTGAGCAGGCCATTTACCAGACACGGGCCTTCTCTGTCACGGTGTGAATGCATTTCCTAGAAACAGCTGGGAGACAGGGAAGGCAGTCCTACAAGGAGCCCTACCTAGACACGGACTCTTTAGAACTCTCACACTGGTTGGGATCAATTACCTGCAAGTTCTGAGCCATCACCTAACAACCAGCATGACAACAGAGCTTATTTAATCCAGAAACTGAAAGAAAGCTATAGTGATTTGCATACTTGTGGGATCCAGGTCCTCCTCTAACCTAGGGCCAGACTTCACTGAGAATACACACCCGGGTGTTATTACCCAGGGCCTGCAAAACTGTAATAGTTGGAGGTGAAAGAGGAAAAGTCGAAAATCCCCAAAACATAACTTCACTTTGTTTTCAGTGCTAAGAGTGTTAAGTCATCTTAAATAATCAGCAGGTGAACCATCCAAGAACAGAGCAATCTGATAAGTGATCAAATCATCATGCCCAGCAAGGCTCTGTACCTTTAAGAGCAAATAAATGGGTGGTGCTTAGAGGCCAAGCTTTACTTTCTAAATAGTTCTATGGTGTTTTTGTTGTTGTGGTTGGGTCTCGGTAATGGCAGTAACTTGGGAACAACTTGCCAGTTACGTGAGCTTGTAAGTGATTACATGCCGGAATTAGTAACTTTTTGTGACTGGTATTCCTCGATCAGTAATTGTGATGGGCAGAGGGGCAGTGAGGTAGCAGAGCAACAGATAACGGCTGTACCACGTCCAGCAGCCCAGATTGCCCTTTAGGAGAGAAATTTTACACCAAGCGAGCTGCACTTCACTAGGGGTGAACGACGGCCAGTTTAACATCACTAATTGCCCTGCGCATACACACTGCCCGCCCGAGAGCCATCCATTCGCACCTGGAGCGAAGTCCACCGGGTTTGCGTTAACCGCGACCGGGGAGTAGAAAGGCGCCGGCCACCCTGTGCATCCCAGGGAGTTAGATCCCAGAGCGCCCAAGGCTTCCTCTACGCCACCCCGAGTGGCTTCCGCACCGCCCACCACCACCGGCACCCTTTCTCTCCTCTCCTTCCTAAGGAAGAGAAATGATAAACCGTAGCCTAAGGCACCAAACAGTTGGGACACCCGAAAGACGGCCCGGGATGAGTCCGGCCCACCGCCTCTCCAAGCACATTTTTAACCCACAACCCCAAAACATGCGCTCTCCAGATCCAGTACCAGACGCAGGGGGGCAGCGGGAGAGCGCGACACGTGACTCTCCGCGCCCCTAGGCGTGAAGTCAGCGGGCACACCCGGCTGGATAGTTTCTACCTCTCCGCGCAAGCCTAAAGGGCCTGCAAATGCTACTTCCGATCCCGACACCCAAGCCCTGCACCTCCAGCTCGGTTCAAACGGTCCCTCCACCGAAACTCGGTTCCGGTCACATCTGGTCTCCCAGCCCATCCTCCCAGCTCGGTAAGCCGAGCCCTTTCCACTAGCTCGCCTCCCTGAATCCCAGGGACTGGGCCACCTGCTCGGGTCTGCACGCCGCTGGGCCTAGGAAGGGATGCACTCCACGGTGAGCCACTGGAGCCCAGAAGTTGGCTGAGGCTCAGAAGGGACCAATTCAACGCCAATCTCTCCGGGAGGGAAGGCGGCTTGGGGGACCTCCTTCCCTCCTGAACACCTGGCCCTGCCCACGGCCCGCCCCGCCGCCGCTCCCGGCGCAGACTAGGTACACACGACCTTTGAAAAGTAAACGCGTGCGGGGTAGGGCGACCTTGGGTGGGACGCGCTCAGGTCTGCCTGGCAGGCGGGTGTGCGCGCTCAGGGAAAGTTAAAGCGCTGAGGGACGCCCCGGGCGTCGCGTCCTCCTCCCCTACTCCCGAGGTCGGTGACGCGCGAAGGGAACTGCGGAGCTATAGAGCGCCACCCCGAGCCATGAGCACGAGATCTGTCAGCAGGAGCCTGCCGGCAGACAACCCCGAACGAGAAGAACGAGGGGGCACGCGGGCGCGGAAAGGGAAAGGGCCTGCCTGGCAGTCGGCGGCGCGTGGAGCCCTCCACACACGCTCGGCGTCCGGAGCCTCCTGCCCCCAGGCTTCCTGGAGCGCGAGTCGCACGCTGCACCTGCAACCCCGGCTCCCCATCACCCCGACGGCGCCCTCTCAGGGCCCAGCACGGAGTCCTCGCGCCAG